TGATGGTTACCCATTGGCTCTCCCTCTCCTCCTCCTCGATGGTAGTTTGCATAGCGAGGGCCATCTCCTCGTCGGTGTTGACTTGCTCGAAGTCCTCGACTTCGGCTTCGGCGACCAGATCTTTTTGCACCTCCATGGCGAGGGCAGAATCACCACCGGCCAAGGGCTGCTCGCTTGTAGACTCCACATCGGAGATGCTTTCCTCCTCAACCGAGGGCTCCCTCGAGATGTCTTGCGAGTCACTTTGGGACGACATTTTTTTACTAGAGTACAAATGTTTCTAAACCGAAGGCTTCCTAAAGAGCTCTAACCCTTAATCTAAGGCCAGAGAGCAGAACTTACTAAAACAGTGAAGAACGAGTGAAGAACTGACCTTGAAAATGAGGATTGGATTGAAGGAAGCTTTCTCTCTCTAGAAATATTTTGCTAGAGCTTCGCTACAATATGATCGCACAGGGGAAATGGCTCTGGCCATGGGATATTTATAGGCCTCCCACTCCGGGTTTGGGCCGAGAAACCGGGCCCCCGATGGAAAGTCATCATTACACGCCGCCCCTTCCGCCAACCGGTGATACCCATCCGAAGCCAGCCAACAGCTACACGCCATGTGGACACCACCTCCAACGGCTATATTCCAACGATCCATATTCCAACGGTCATATCTCAATGGCTCTACTTCGCAGGATAAAATGCCCTCATCTGGCACCCCTCGTGCAATACTCTGCACGCCTTCGAGCTAACTCCTTCAGACTACTTCATCAAGAGGAGCCCCCGGGTTGAACAAACGAAAATTCTTTTTTGCCCTCAGTATGTTGAGAACTAGGGAATCCCCCCGGGGACACACCTTCAAAAACCCCTCATCTGTGGTTAGCCTCCGGCTAAAACACCAGGGAACCCCTCAACACACAGGGACTATCACTGGCACTCATCAACCACGATCACGCCTTCAGCCTCATTGACTGGGGGACTACCCTCGGCAGTCCCCGGGATGCTCGCTCATGCTTATCAACTACGGACGGCTTCGGAGGAATGCTCCCAGCAGACCCTCCAGGATATCAACAAATCCCCTTCGGCAACTCCACAGACACGCCCTCCGATCAAGAGTAGCCCTCGGCATCAAGGTTTCACCTTTTCGATTCATCGTTAGGGGAATTCGGTGCACTCTTTTTCCCTCATTGGGATTTTCCCATAGGATTTTTCCTAATGAGGTTTTTAACGAGGCATCCCCCCAAAATGAAACGAAAAGCGTCACCCCTCGGCCCACATTGCAGACAGGCACTACTCTACTCCTTTTCACCACTTTACAAATGCCTCAAGGAGAAGGGGGACTGGAAGACCCCTTCGGGAAAATATCAAAAAAGCAAATTATCAAAAATCTCTCAAAAACATCAACCCGATCCCTCAAATCCTAGAATGTGGGGGACTGAGGGACTGCCTTCGGCAAAAACGTGCAAACGACAACTCCTCACAAACTCCACGAATTACAGAGCAAAACGCCAGCATCAGAGGACAAACACATTTTACTCCTTTTCCCTCAAGTACCTTTCGACAAAAGGAGTGAGGGACTCTTGATGGAGTATATGGTCCAGGGACCCCCGACCCATACTCCCACTACCATAACAAAGGCCCAATAAGCCCAGGAAGCACAGCAGGCCCAAATCACAGTGCCCCAAGTGCCAAGCAGCCCACGACATACACTTGGGTGCCTTCGGCACCCATGGCCGAAGTCTCATCAACTTACCGTACAACTGCTTTTAAGCACTCGAAGTTACTGGGAGAAAACGGCGAAAACAGTAGCCCTCGGCACCTAGAGCCCTCGGCACCTAAAGGGCCCCCGGGATGAAGAGCCTTCAGCTAATCATCCACAGCCGAAGGCATCTCATCGACAGAATCTCCCACCCACATGCGCTGTATCAATGTACCAAGTACAAACGTCACATCCAACCACCGCATTTAATGCGGCCACATGCGAGTGTCAGTGCCACCCCGTTGAGGTGAGCCCTCGACCACCAGAATGATGACATGTGTCCTTATCTAGCATTTATTGCTGCTATAAATAGCACACCTTTTCCCAATTGTAAACCACGCTCAATACGTTGAATTCAGATTGAAAACTCTCTCTCTCTCTCTCTCTTATTTATTTGCTCTGACTTCTCTCTAGTTATTCTCCGCCCGGGTACGACTATCCATCACAGTCCAAGTAAAAATATCCTAAATAGCCACACAAATGTTTGTGTGTCTTCACTCGATATTAGCCCACAACCGAGCAAAACTGATTGGCCGTGGTGATTAACTCCTACAAATGGAACAAATGGCACAAATGGCATATCATATCGATTTGTAAGGTACGTTGTGACAAAAGTAATTACATCACCAAAGTCTTTATAAGTATATCGACATCGACTGTCAGCCCAAAAAACATTCCGTAAGTGTGACTCTTCATCCATATCAACACTGATTGGCCGTGGTGATTAACTCCTACAAATGACACAAATGGCATATCATATCGATTTGTAAGGTACGTTGTGTCAAAATTAATTACTTCACCAAAGTCTTTATAAGTATATCGACATGAATTGTCATCCCAAAAAACGTTTCGTAAGTGTGACTCTTCACCCATATCAACCGCAAAGAAGAATCCCGAGCATTGTGTTTGCATTCTACAAAAAAATCTTGTATTGTCACCGCATCACCACTTCCCAACTGAAGTTGTCATACTTTATCTATGTACTTCGTACAATCCTTTTCAATAAATGGAAGTTCATTGTATCCACCAGCTTGTACATCCGTGGATTTGAAACTCTTATGAAGTGATATACCGGCAACATCATTTATTTCAAGTTGCCTCATCATTTACGGAGTCAACTTTCTATTAGATCGAAATATTCTTGACTTTGTAGGAATCATATAATGGTTGTGCTCTAAACAAACTTTACTGATAACCCATCCTCCAACATAATCACTTTGTGCTCTTGTTTTTGTTAAGCACCCGATCTACATTGATGCTTGAGGCTACAAACAATTTTGTACCTGGCTAGGTTGATTCCCGCCCTTGCATATTCAAGTACAATTCCAATTAGAACTCCTTTGCCTTTCACCGACGTTCGTACTTTTACAGGAAAGTCAGGACTTCTTTCATATGCCTTGTAATAAAAAGCATACACGACATCATTGCTATTACATTCCATGCCAACATACAAAGGTTTCATTACACTCACTCTCGCATTTGTCTTTTCCTCTAAACATGTTAGGAATTTTATCAATTCAGCGCCCGAAAGATAGACGAATTATCAATCCGGGACCTGAAAGATGAAATGCATCAATATAGGACCCGAATAATGAAAAACTATCAATTTAGGACCTGAATGATTGAAAACTATTAATTTAGGACCTAAGTTGTCATATATTTTATTTTATTTTTTATTTTAAAAAGTTTAAATATTATTTAGTTTTATTAAACTAATAAACTTTTGTGAAACAAAGTTTATCAAAAATTAGTAATGGAATTAATAAAAAATTAATTAAATCAAAACCTATGGAACATTAGGTCCTAAATTGATAGTTTTCCATCATTCGTGTCCTATACCGATATGTTTCATCTTTCGGGTCCTGAATTGATAATTAATCTATCTTTCGGGTCCTGAATTGATAAAATTCCAACATGTTATTGAACTCATATCATTAATTTTATCACTCTCAAAACTGATATACGATGAATATAAAAAATGCAATATATATTGATTGTCTAAATGTCTAAATGTCTGCATGTACATATGTGTTCATATTACACATCAGTACGTCTATGCGTACAAAAAACTTCATACACTAGTATGATAATTAACAAATAGCCATAAACACATGTTTTGTATACATAAACACATAAAGCCACAAACCAACCACAACATAAACAACTCTAACAATCATCTTCTTCTACATGTTTTGAATCATACATTCAACACATACATTAATTTTGTGTCCAACATGATAGAACTTATCTGACCAGATAGACATGTAGTCAACATGTCTGCCCCCTACATAGGCACAATAAGCACATGTTTGTCGCCACAGACACTGCATTTGCAAATTGTCTGTGGAACCGAACATCATTTTGAAGTTTAGTTCTGATGAATCTGAAACTCAAGCCACCACAATACATACACATACTAAGATCGTCCAAGATGTCTGTTTCAACTTCTTGGACATAAATGTTCAGTCTTCCACCGTCTAAAGTGGTATCGTCTGTCGCACTCCACCTCCAACGTCGGAAACTTCCCTCTCCATCTTTGGTCAGTCACACTCCAACTCCGATCAATCACAATAATCCATTGAAAAGGTGAAAGAGTTTGCAAGGTGATGGTGTCCAAGCTGAGCGTGCGAGAAGCGTAGAAAAAAAATGAGAACATGACAATATGCGTACAAGAGAGAAGGTGTGCAAGGTGGAGAGGAGGTAAAGAAAAGTAAAAAATTGGGGTATTTATATGATGTGCTTACGGTGTACATAAAATGTGTACATGCAACAAAATTGATGTAGAATTGATCCGCACGGATAACTCAATTGGTTGAGTGATGTGAAAACAAGAGGAATGACCAATATTCGAAACCCGCAACGATCGTGTGGAGGTTACAGTTCATGCGTGCTGGTACGCACGGGTATAAGACTTATCACCGTTGGGATGACTGAATCACCGTAATTTACATCCTCTCATATGTCTTGTCGGTCATGTGGTTGAGGATTCAAGATGTTTTTACTTGGACTATAATTTGATGGTCTGGTCTGGTCTGTTTAAGTCTGGTCTGATCTATTTAAGTCTGGTTTGGTCTGGTCTAATCTGATCTAGTATATGTCTGGTCTTTGTGTATTTTATAACTATGGAAGTCAAATATGATCTGATTTGGTCTGGCCTGTTTAAAAATATCCTAAACCTTATGGAGGAAGAGTGTAGAATTTACCCGTTTACCTTATTATTAGGATGGTTGCACCTTAGGCAAATGATGATTGCCCGGTTTAACGGGTGGAATGGAGTTAGGGCAGCTCCACGAACCGGCTATAAATAATTGCAAGGTCGCGCTAAAAAGCGGCCAGGGCGTAAACGAAGAAACGAAGCCAAAGAAGAGGGCTCTTCTGTCGGGGAGCACACTATCCGTGTTATAATTTCAATTCAATCCTCAGGTAAACTAGCATCGTGGAAATATTAAATCTTTTCTGGTTACTACGTCGATTTGGCTTTCTACGTCTCCATAATATTGAATTAGTGAATCAGAAACCCGTATTTTGAATTGAGGAACCCTAGGTGGATTAACTACATTTATCTAGCAGTTTAATTTAAATTGAAATCAATTTTGTTTGAAGAGTCGTTTTTATTTTCCAATACTCTATGTTTCCATCGAAATATGATTTCTCTGATTAAATAGAGTTTTGTTTCCTGTCTTATTGGTTGTCGATAGATGGATCGTTATCAGAAGGTCGAGAAGCCTAGGGCAGAGACACCCATTGATGAGAATGAGATTCGGATTACTAGCCAAGGAAGGATGAGGAGCTATATCACATATGCTATGAGTCTGCTACAGGTACAGTTGTAGCTTAAGCCCTGCTCCACGCAGTCATACTTAACATTTATGCTGAGCTACATTATGTGCATTTTTACTGTCACGGCTGATTTCTAATGTACAACTTCTCACAAAATTTAATATATGTGACTTGGATTCAATGATTTTTTTTTTGATTTAGGAGAAAGGGTCCGAAGAGATTGTGTTCAAGGCCATGGGTAGAGCAATCAATAAAACTGTAACCATGGTGGAGCTTATCAAGGTATATTCATGACTTCATTATTATTTTTGGCTTTTGGAAGTCATATTTGTTGTTGTGACTTTGTAATATTTTCAGTCACTATGTTTAGAATCTTGTGAACATTTATATTTTTATTCCAGAGGAGGATTGTTGGTCTTCATCAGCTTACATCCATTACATCCACTGACATCACAGATACATGGGAACCTCTGGAGGAAGGCCTCCTTCCGTAAGAGAATTTTATCTCAGTTTAATTATATGTGTTACTTTTACTTTATTATTATTATTATGGAAGTGGCTCTGCATCTTACTCTTCTCCTTTATATAGATTGGAAACCACAAGGCATGTTTCAATGATAACAATTGCTCTATCCAAGAAGGAGCTGGATATGAAGGCTGTTGGGTAAGTGTGAAAAACTTTTGCTGGTTAGTGAATTTGGAACGGTATCAACTTAGTCCATTACTTGTAGTTTATCACATTTTACTTTGTTTTGCTATTATGATTTTGCAGGTATCAGCCGCCTATACCGGCAGATCAGGTGAAGGTTTTTACAGAGATTGATTATGAAGGAGGTATATCATGTTTTCAACTATCAATGTCCTCTGTTTTTGGGATAGCCCCTCATGTTTTTATATTGCAGAAGGATCACCTCATAAACGAGGAAGAGGACGAGGAGGTAGAGGAAGGGGACGGTCTAGGGCTCCTGGATATGGTATGCACTTCGGGTATTTGTCATCAACTTGTTAGGAGGACGTTTGTTATTTTACTTGGGTGATGTTTTGAAGGGTTAATACCGTATTTGACCCCTCAACAATCAATTTCCTCATGCTGCCATGCATTTTCTGTTCTAATTGTGAAGAATATTCTCGTACGTTGATGAGGCCTATCGGAGTACTAAGTTGGAACTAAAATAGATAGATGAAGCAAAATTGAGTATGAAACTCTCTGGATTTATTGATTAGGAAATACCCTTATTTATAACAAAATGTTCATGAGGTCTAAACTGTGTCCAAATTTCATTGCCGAACAGCAAATTGAGTACATCAAGAATTAACTAACAAGAATGTCATTGAATTTAGCAATCTAACATAATCTGCTAACGAGTAGCTTGAGGCGTGCCTTTTTCTAAAATAGATATTCCTTGTTCCAGTTTTACTGTGAAGATGATCTTACATGATGCTGGTTGTAGGAAATGGTTATATGGGAGGTGATTATGAAGATGGTGGCTATGATAGAAGCCACAACTATGGTAGAGGGAGAGGTAGAGGTAGAGGCCGTTATTTCCGTGGTGGACGTGGAAGGGGTGGAGGTGGTTACAACAGTTCACAGTATGATGATGCTCCACATGATGGTATTTACAATAATGATGTGCCTCCTATCCGTGGGCGTGGAAGGGGTGGTTATAACAACTCTCATTATGATCCAGCCCAGCAGGCTGGTGGCTACAATAATGAAGTTCCTCTGGTACGTGGGCGTGTAAGGAGTGGTTACCACTCTCAATATGATGCCCCACAGGAGGGTGGCTACAATCAGGAGGCTCGTTCATTAGGCCGTACACGTGGAAGGGGTGGTTACAACAGCCGTCGGTATGATCTTCAGCAAGATGGTGGGGGCTACAATCAAGTTGCTCAGGCCCGTGGACGTGGAAGGGGCGGCGGCAATAACACTCAGTATGATGATCAACAAGAGGATGTCTACAATCATGAGGCTCCTACTCAAGGCCGAGGTACTTGTTTTCCCATTTTCTGTATTTGATTTTTGTTATTTTTTATTCTATAAATAAAAGGTTAAAATACGGTGTTACTTTATAAAATGAATTTCAAGTTATGTTACATTTTACATCTCTGTTAAAAATTGTGAAAGAATTTTACTTAATTGTACAAGTGGTTATTTTCAGGACGTGGTGGTCGTGCGAGGGCACCTCGCGGGCGAGGCTTTAGGTCGAGTAATGGACTGGCAGACCATCCTGCTGCTGCTGCAGGAGAAGACATTGCTTAGCTGTGTTCTAAAAAAATTGGAAACTACGCCCTTTTATAAGAGTGTGCCTGCTCAATATCCTTCCTATGTTATTTCCTGTGTTTTCACCTGATTTGTTCCCAGCAAGTATTGATCAACTTTAGGGTGCCAAAATCCTATAAAATGCGTGTAGACTAATTTTTAGAGATTGTGTTTACACCAATTTGTGGTGAGCCTTTTTGTATTCCCCCTTTTCTTCCTGTTTACCATAATTTTAGTGGCATGTAGGAGTTTGTTTAAAGTATAAAGATGGATTAGTGAGCAGCATTCTTTAATTTATTTGGCGGACAAAGTTGTTATCCATATTGCAAAATGCAAAGATTCCAAGTATGTGGGCCATGTGGTTGATGGAATAAAACCATTTGTATCATATGTAGTTCTGATTACAAAAAGAATTGTAAAATATTTTTTCTCTAAATCAATCAATTCCATGTGGAAATTGGAAAAGGAGAGGTAAAAATGCTTTAAAATTTCCTTGACTAAGGGACATTTGGAAATTGGAATTGATTATGCTTGTAGAATTAAAATCAAAATGATTGCAAAAAGAATTGTAAAAGAGTACCTAGGCATGGACCGGTTCGGGCCTGGGCCCGGTCGGGCCTCGGTTCAAGAAGGGGAGGCCCGGAATTGGCCTGGGTAACCCCCCCGGGTCCGGGCCGGGCCTCGGTTCTATTTTTTTTTTTTTTTTTTTTTTGGATTTTCCTAGTTAACCCCCAACCCTCCCCTCACCCCCAAACCAACCCTAACCACCTCAAATGGCCTAAAATACACAGCCCAACCCAAAAACTTAAAAAAAATTCAAAAAAAAAAAAAAAATTGGCCCGGGCCGGTTAACCTTTTGATAGGGCCCGAGCCCGAACCGCCACCCTATCGGGCCGGTTGGCCCAAACCGGGCCCGGAACCAGTTCACCGGGCCGGGCCTGGCCCGCACAGTAGCGGGCCGGTTCGGTTCCGGGTCGGTTGGCCCGGCCCGAGTCCAACCCTATTGAAGGAAATATTTTGAATCAGTTAGGCCTAATTGATTAAAATAATTTTAATCAGTTATAGATAGGGGTGGACTTGGGTTGAGCCTAGGCCTGGGTGGGCCGGCGGTTCAGGAGTGGTGGACCCGGGACCGGCCCGGGTAACCACCCTTCCTAATTAACCCCCCTCCCACCTCCAACCCCCCAAACCACCCCAAATGCCCCAAAAAACCCAGCCCAACCCGAAAATTTAAAAAAAATTGAAAAAAAAAAACAAATCAATTTTGGCCCGAACCGGGCTCGGGCCCAGCCGGGTCGGGCCTTGTTCTGGGTGACCCGAGCCCGGACCGGAAAACCCATGGGTCGGCCCTACCCGGACCGGTCACTGACCAGGCCACCGGGTCGGGTCGGGCCGGAACAGTACTAGTCCCGGGCCAGTTCCGGGTTGGGGCCACCCGGCCCGAGTCCATCCATAGTTATAGATAGAAAGTACTCCCTCCTTTTCCAAAAGAAAGTCATGGTTTGACTTCACGAATATTAAGGAAATAAATTGACTTTACTGTAGAAAACTCTGTTTAGACACTGTTTGGCATTGTTTGGACACTGTTTGACACTGTTTGGCACTGTTTGGATGTAGATTTCTTTGCCAAATGAGGAAATAAGGGAAGTGTGACTTTGTTTTTGAAACATTTCAAAAAGGAAAGTGTGAGTTTCTTTTAGAAACAGAAAGATTATATATAGGGTTTTGTGTGTATTAATTAAATGGCTCATTGGCCGATCTCTTGTAGTCTTGTAAGCCCTAATTTCTCCTATTTATAGAAGGCTTGTTAATGGAATAACCGAATAACACACATATCCCACTAGTGTTGGACTCGGGCCGGGTGTCCCGACCCGGAACCGGCCTGGAACCGGTACTGTGCTGAACCGGCCCGGCCCGGTGATCCGGCCAGTGACCGGTCCGGGTAGGCCCGGCCCGGGGGTTCCCGGTGCGGGCTCGGGTCACCCAAAAGTCGAACCGGCCCGGCCGGTTCGGGCCCGGTTCCGGGCTTTTAATTTTTTTTCCCAATTTTTTTTTAACATTTCGGGTTGGGGTGGGTATTTTGGGCCATTTGGGGTGGTTTGGGGGGTTGGGTTGGGGGGTTAATTAGGAAAAGAGAAAAAAATTTAAAAAGAGGCCCGACCCAGACAGGACCCGTTGGCTACCCGGGGCGGTCCCGGGCCCACCTTTTCTGAACCGGCGGCCAGCCCAGGCCTAGGCCCGACCCGGACCCGGCCCGGCCCGAGTCCAACACTAGATACCACTTCCCTACAACACGTTATTAGCACGTATGCTCTAGAAACCTTATTTTTTTCGTCAAGCATCGTAGCTGACCTCTCCAGCCCTCGACTGTGTCCTCTCATCCTCGGCTCTCTTCTCTCATCCTCATCAAATTTTGAGGAATGACTCGAGGAGAACTTGAGTGTTTAGTAGATAGTGGGATCACACACACAGGGATGGACTTGGGCCGGATAAACCGGACCAGTCCGCTACAGTAATGAACCGGCCCGACCCCGCCCGACCCGATGCCATATACCTGAATCGGCTATTCCCGGGGTGGGCTCCGGGTCCCCTGAAAATGAATCAGCCCGGGCTGGGCCTCCAACGGTCATATTATTAATTTTTTTAAAAAAACTAAGGAGACTCCTCCTAGCCGTTGGGAACATTCCCAAACGGCTCTATAGCCGTTGGAGGGCCTGGAAGGGGGAAGGGGGGTAAAAAAATTATAAATATTCCTATTTTCTAAACAATTTTCTACACATCTTTTCCAACTCTTCCTACTCTCTATTCTCTAATATTCTTAATCATCTCCATCTTCATCTTCTCCAATTCTCTTTACATATATTTATACAATTATTATATCTACTTAATATCTACTTATTATCTACTTAATATATACTTCATATCTACTTAATATCTACTTATTATCTACTTATTATCTACTTATTATATTATTGTTATTTACTTATATTTACATATTACATCTACTTAATATTTTATTTATTTATATTTTTAATCCGGAAAACAAACCACCAAAATCAGTGGGGTAAATGGCGGATGTCATTTACCAGAGTTTTATTGAATGAGAAGATGGATACACGAGAGGAGGACTAGACCAAAGCCTCTCAAAAAACAAAGAGTACAAAATTAAATGAATGACCAAGAAAATTAATGGAAAAATCTAAGAGAAGGAATACCAAATAAATCCATGTAAAAAGCATTTTTAGCTTGGGCCGGTAATTCAGAAGCTCTATTGTAACACACGGGTTGGGCCGGAGGTAGATTTGCGAAGTAATGCCCTGTCCAATTAGCGGAGAAAAGGAAACCCCTCTGTTCATCGATCGAAGCTTCATTTCCTTTACCTCATCCTTCCATCTTCCTTCTCCATCATTGCTGATGTACCGTAGAGCTTCGGTGTAATCCAATTCAACCTCAAAATCAGAGAAGCCTTCGTGCAACGCCCAAAGTGAAGCATAAATCGCTACTCTCAGTTCTGCCTCGAGAGCTGAGGAAGCTTGGATCGGGAAGGAGGTAGCTAAGAGCATCGAACCTTCACCATTTCTTATTATAGCACCTCCTGTCGCTTGATGAGGTAAAAAGCTCGCATCCGTATTCATTTTCAGCTTGTTCTTTGGCTTTTTCCATCTAACTGCCAATATAGTTGGCCGAGAAGGCCTATAGGAATGAGGAACAATAGATTCGCTATAGAGGAAATCATAAACTTTTCCGGCCTTGCGGACAGAGATACTAGATATCCAGTTACGAGTATATAGTTTAATTTGAGAAATTAAACTATCACTAGTAACTTGAGTAAAGTCCGAGCCCCAGAGAATAGATGCATAGGTTTTCCAGATAATCCAACAAATAACCCCTGGTAAAATGTGCTTAAAGATATCTGTAATCTTCTTAGAACCAGCTTTAAGCTACCAAGTCATGAATGTTTGCCTTATAGAATAATTGTGCTGGTGAAGAGGTAAACCAAATAAATTCATAAAATATTTCCAAACCGGGCTAACCTTGGGACAAGTGAGAAAAAGATGATTAGTGGAATCAGAATTTGACTTGCAGAGAGGGCAGATTGTAGGGTGCAGAACTGAATTGAACCTGCCAAGATTATCAGGAATGGGCAAGATATTTTTAAAAAGCTTCCATTGAAAAAGCTTGATATTTAGGGGAAGCTTAGGATGCTAGATCAATTTATAGGAAAGGGTAGAATAATTTTCCTCCCTAGCAATTTCATAAGCAGAAGAGAAAGAGAACCTGCCATCCACTTCTGGTTCCCAAAATAAACTGCCATCATTATTGACCCCACATAAAGGACTGACCAGTTCATTTATGTAACAAATTCTTCTCCATATGGGAGAGTCATAGATTTTAGGCACCATATTGTCCATCCTAGGATACCTGGCTTTTTTGACCCAAAGAGAATCTCCAGTCTTCCATTTCCACCATAGCTTGATAGAGAAAGTTTTTTCAATGTCAGTGAGAGCTCTAATGCCAGACCACCTTCTGAAGTAGGAATGCACAGATGAACCATTTAAGCCAATGATATTTGGGCTTATTATTTGAGGCACTCCAGAAAAAAGAAGCCATTTTAGTTTCAAGAATTTTAATAACCTTCTTGGGGAAAGTATCCACAGCCAACACATGAAGGGGAATAGAATTAAGAACATGTTTAATTAAAATTAAACGACCTCCTTGAGAAAGGTGCTTCTGTTTCCAAGTAGAGAGTTTAGAGTCAAACTGATTCACAATGTTCATACAGTAATCAGCTCTATTTATACCTTTATGCAGGTTGACCCCCAAGTATTGAACAGGAAGAGTGGCAGCTTTCATGCCAAGGAGATTCTGAATAGTATTAATTCTTGTACCAGTATGTTTCCTACAGATGAAAGAGCTCTTGTGAAGATTTACAGATTGACCTTGTGAAAGACAATATAGAATATTCTTTAGAATATGTTTTAGAATATTCTTCTATCTTTAGAATATGCTTTAGAATATTTTAGGAATATACTCTAGGATATTATTATTGTATAGAATCTTAAAGGAATATTCTATCTTTGTAATGTATATATATATGGGCTTGACCCTCCAATGAAAAACACACAAAAAAATCATTCTTCTCATTACTATTCTATCTTTAATTCTTTCAACATGATATCAGAGCAATCTGTTCCAGTTTAGCTTAGTAGTATTTTTCAGAATCTCAGTTCATGCCTCTGCCAGAACCTTAGCCCAAAATTCAGAATCTCAGTCCAAAATCCACAGTTTCACGGAGCATCATCTCCACCCTAAGCAGTCACGCCTTCCGCCGCTGACCTTACACTCGAAATCCGCAGGCCACACGCGCCGTCAGAGGACCTCGTAGACCTAATCGCAGACCCAATCGCCGGAGAATCCATCGGAACTATTTTCAGGTGTCTTGAACGGTATTATCTTTCTGTGACTTTGCTTATTAAGTAACGATGACATTCAAGGATAGTATTTTGGTCGCTGTAAGTTTACTTAATACATAGCATCTTATTTCTGCAATTAAAAAAAAGTCAAAAAAAAAAAATCAAAAAAAAAAATCAAAAAAAAAAAATCAAAAAAAAAAAAATAAAAAAAAATGCCTGGTTCTGATACAGACACTTCCACTGTACAACATGCTCAGCCTTTGGTAGTTTCCGAAGTTATTCACATTAATTTTAAAATTACTGAGAATAAACTTTGTGGCTCTAACTATCTTGAATGGAGTAAAACTATCAAACGTTAGTTACGAAGCATTGATAAACACACCCACTTAGTTGATGACCTGCCAAAGGAGGAGATTGATAGAGCTGCTAATGCTGTCTGGCTTCGTGATGATTCTAGATTATTTATCCAGATTCAGAACTCCATGGAGAATGACGTCTGGGGTATGTTAGTCATTGTGATACTGTGAAAGAACTCTTTGATTATTTGGAATTTATGTATTCTGGCAAAGGTAATCTTAACCACATCTATGAGGTGTGCAAAGCCTTTTACAGGGCAGAAATGAAAGATAAGCCTCTCACAGCTTATTTTATGGATTTCAAGAAAACGTATGAAGAACTTAATACCTTAATGCCATTTAGTCCTGATATCAAAGTGCAGCAGAAACAACACGAACAATTGGCAATCATGAGCTTTTTGGCCGGTTTTACGTCTGATTTTGAAACAGCCAAATCACATATCCTATCTAGTGATGTGGTCTCTTCTCTTCAAGATGCTTTCAGTAGAGTGCTTCGCACTGACACTTCATCCACATCATCGGCACCTCAACCGAGCAATGCTTTTGTAGGGCAAGTCCCAACATTCCCCAATGGAGGTGAGAAGTGGCCACGCACAGGACCGATTGGCAAAGGAGTAGTTTGCAACTACTGTAAGAAACCCGGGCACTTGATCAAAGATTGTCGAAAGCTAAAGTTCAAAAATCAAGGAAATCAAGTCGCTCACATTGCTTCCGTTACACAGCCGTCTAATGGATCCATCATTATGTCTTCAGAGGAATATGCCAAATTCCTAGGTTACCAGGAGGCTCTAAAGCATTCATCTACTCCTATCTCAGTTGTAGCTAATTCAGGTAATCCAAACACATGCCTTGTATCTTCATCCTCAAAATGAGTTATCGATTCAGGAGCAACAGATCATATGACAGGTAATCCTAGTCTTTTTTCCTCATTCCACACACCTCTTCATACTTCTAGTGTGACTTTGGCTGACGGATCTACGTCACCCGTTCTTGGTACGGGTACAATTGTCCCAACATCTACCTTACCTTTGTCACCCGTCCTAAGTCTTCCAAATTTTGCTTTCAATTTGATTTCGATCAGCAAAATCACACGTAAACTTAATTGTTCTGTAACCTTTTTTCCTGGATATTGTGTATTTCAGGATCTGTTGACGAATTAGGTTATTGGTAAAGGATATGAGTCGGCCGGTCTCTATCTCTTGGATACATCCTTACCCAAATCAATCTCTTGTCTTGTCATTGGAACTGTGTTAGAGGCTCACTATCGACTAGGTCACCCTTCTCTTCCGTTGTTAACGAAGCTTTATCCTCAATTCAATAAGGTGTCATCTTTACAGTGTGATTCGTGTCAATTTGCAAAACATCATCGAAGTAGTCTAAGTCCTCGAGTCAATAAACGAGCACATGCTCCTTTTGAACTGGTTCATTCTGATGTTTGGGGTGCTTGCCCTGTTGTGTCCAAATCTGGTTTTAAATATTTTGTTACATTTGTTGATGATTATTCTCGTATGACTTGGATTTATTTCATGAAACGTCGTTCTGAGTTATTTTCTCATTTTTGTGCCTTTTGTGCTGAAATCAAAACTCAATTTAATGTACATGTTCGTATTTTAAGGGGAGACAATGCTCAAGAGTATTTGTCTGCCTCATTTAAGTTGTATATGGCTCAACATGGCATAATTCATCAAACTTCATGTGTAGACACACCTCCCCAAAATGGAGTTGCTGAACGAAAGAACAGACATCTATTAGAAACTGTGCGGGCTCTTCTATTCCAAATGAATGTGCCAAAACATTTTTGGGCGGATGCTGTGTCTACCGCATGTTTTTTGATCAATCGAATGCCATCTACTGTTTTAGATGGTAAAACTCCATATCAGTGCCTATTTCCAAATAATGAAAATTTTCCTATTCCTCCTAAAGTTTTTGGTTGCACTTGTTTTGTACGAGATGTTAATCCCCATTTAACAAAGTTAGATCCCAAGTCATTAAAGTGCATTTTCTTAGGCTACTCCCGAGTTCAAAAGGGGTACATATGTTTTCTCCAAGTACAGGTCGGTATATTGTTTCAATTGATGTCTCCTTTTATGAAAATACACCATTTTCATCAATAGACACAAATATCTGTAGGGAGAATGATGATATACTCATTTACACAGTCACTATACCCGAGTCCAATACTTCAACAGTTCTTCCCCATGTTACTTTTCCTGAGCCTAGGCCTCCGATACACTTGGTATACACCTGTCGACACAAAGTGCAAGATCACCCTCCACCTGTGGTTACTTCTCCTGATACTGATCCGATCTCATATCCTGAACCGACACCCGCATCTTCAGATCCTGTCTCTACATCAGATCTTGATCTCCCCATCGCACTACGTAAAGGTACACGGTCTTGTACTCATCCTATTTCTTCATGTGTGTCGTATAATCAGTTATCATCTGCCTCATGTTCTTTTATTGCTTCCATTGATTCTATTTCTGTTCTCAAATCTGTTAAAGATGCTTTGTCTAATCCTGATTGGCGTCATGCCATGGTAGAGGAAATGAATGCTTTGGATCTTAATGGTACCCGGGATTTGGTAGACTTGCCTACAGGGAAGAAGTCTATAGGATGTAAGTGGGTCTTTGCTGTAAAGGTTAACCCTGACGGATCCGTTGCTCGGTTGAAAGCCCGATTAGTTGCGAAGGGTTATGCTCTAACCTATGGCGTTGATTATTCTGACACATTTTCTCCTGTTGCTAAATTAACATCTGTCATGATGGAGTATATGGCCCGGGAACCCCCGGCCCACAGACTCCTACTACTCCAGCGAAGGCCCAACAGGCCCAAATCACAGCGCCCAGAGTACCGAGCAGCCCGCACAACGCACAGGGGTGCCTTCGGCCCCTGACCGAAGGCTCCAAATTATCACAGAGCGGGTTTCTCAAGCAAATTAGGAAACTGGGAGAAAACGGCGAAAACAGTAGCCCTCGGCATTGTGAGCCCTCGGCACCAGGGTGCCATCGGGTGGGAGAGCCCTCAGTTACTGCTCTATAGCCGAAGGCATCTCACTCGACAAGATATCCGCCTCACATGCGTACAGATCACCGTACCCCGCACAGACGTCCCGTCCAACAGCCGCATTAAATGCGGCCACATGCGGCTGCCAGCGCCAACCAGTTGAGGTGACCCCTCGGCCAATGAGCGCTTGACACGTGTCCCTGCCCGGCATTTATTGCTACTATAAATAGCTCCCCATTTCCCCATTTGTAACCACGCTGAAAACGCTCCACATTTATAATACACTCTCTCTCTCTTACTTGTTTGCTCTGACTTCTCTCTAAGTTATTCCCCGTAATAACCCTTCGGATATATACCCCCGGGTAGACTATCCATCATTTGGTGCTCTCGTTGAGAGCTTGAACAATCGAGTAAGAAACCCTCCCCCTCGACCAAACACAAAACACTAGCTCTCTATCAAAATGGTGAGGACAACACGTGCCAACTCAAAGAACGTAGAAGACAAGAACCTGGCCCTCGGCGACGTCAACGCCCCCGAAGCCTCTCACAGGGCTCCCGAGGGCGGTGTCATCGCTGGGCTGGAACAGGCGGCTGTCGACCTACGCCTTCAGATCCAACAAAATGCCCCCGATGCCCGCCTCGGCATCGAGGCCAAGAAGAAAAACCGGAGCGATGACCGAGTCAGCCCTCCGGTTCTCACCATCGACGTACAATCGGCGCTCTCCGCCTTCATCCAGACGCTCACCCAGAACCCGGGTGCCTTCGGCACCCTGGCTCCAACTCACCCTCAGATCGGGGAAAATATCGTACTTCCCCCCTCTGCCACACCCCTTCGGAAATCCCAAGGGGGTGGTGGCCCAAGAAACATCATCCCAGGAAGTTCAGTCCCGGGACCGCCATAATGACAACAGGGAGAGGCCCCGCACTTCCGCCCTCAACCGGCTCGGAGGAGGGCCAGACCGCCGAGGGGTCCAAGACCGCCTCGGGGGGAAAGCACTCCAAAAGCCCCAGGAAAGCGGGGGATCTGTTTCGAGGGCAGACGAGGAGCGTCCCCCTCGGGACAAAGGCAAGGCACCCCTTCATGCCGATGATGCTCGGCACCAAATCAACCAGGCCCACTCGGCCCGGGTTCGTTCGCAGGGGGCGGAGACCCTCCCGAGGGACCTCCGGGACGAGATCATTGCGGCCCTCCAACGCCGGCTTGACGAGATGGAGTCCAACAAAGCTCACGCCACCAACTCCACCCCTCACTCAGACCTCAAATACGAGGCCATGATGGCCAAAATGGAGGAACTACAGAAGAAGGTGGCCGAGGGCTCCGGGGAACCCGTCATCCAGCTCCGGACTCGGACGCCATTTACCCCAAGGGTATTGGCGGCCCGGATCCCGGAGAAATACCGAGGGCAACACATACAGCCCTACAGCGGAAAAACGGACCCCCAGGAGCATTACAGCAAGTACCAGAACAGCATGATGATGGTGGGGGCGTCAGACGAATATTTGTGTCGTTGGTTCCTCTCCACCTTAGAGGGACCAACATACGAATGGTTCAACAGGCTGCCCGAGGGCTGTATTGATTCATGGCAAGAACTCGCCCAACGGTTCTTAACACAATTTGCCGGGAGGCGTCGCACAAGGAAGCACTTCTCCCACCTCCTAACGATACGCCAGAAGAAGGATGAGACCCTTCGGGATTTCCTGGAGCGCTGGAGGACGGAGGCCGACAAGGTCGACGGTGCTGATGACGGGACCCTCCTGGCCCTCCTACAAACCGTCCTCCGCACCGACAACTTTTAAAGGAGCCTCATCATTGAACCCCCCCGCGACTACATAAGGGCCTTGCAGCGGGGGGACCGATATGCTGAGGCCGAGAAGGTGGAGAAGTATCACCAGCATCCGGACCAGCAGCCCCCGAGGGCAGACAACAAGCACAACCGAGGGCCGGGGGCTCCTCCAAATCGCCCCAAGGCTTCGGGACCCTCTGATGACCGCCCTCGGCAAGGCCAAGCCAAGCCCGGGGGAGGTTATAGGAGCAACCCTAAGACTTGGGCCCAGCCCATTCTCCTGGACCGCCCTCGGACCCCATTGACGCACCCCGTCAGCATCATCCTCGATTTTGCCGAGGAGAGGGGCCTCGTTGAGCGCGACTCTCGCGCACCCCCGGAGGTACACGCTATCAACCCTCAGTTCCCCTACTGTCGCTTCCATCGGCACCAGGGGCACAGGACCGATGACTGCCATCAGCTGAAGACGGCCATCGAGAGATTAATACAAGCAGGGCACCTGTCCCAATTTGTCCAGAGCCCTCGGCAGGAGGGACCTTCTCACCAGGGGCCTCCCCGAGGGCATCACACGAAGGTGAACGCTTGGGTAAACCCGAATACCACCCCCCTCGGCAAGAAAAGGGAGATTGGAAATTTGGAAGAAGAGGAGGAGGAATACCCCCACTACCAGGAGAAAAAACGCCACATCCTCATGATCACCGGTGGCAATACAGGGGGCGATTCCACCAGCCAACGAAAGAAGTGGGCTCAATCGCTTTACGTGGGGGAAGTCACTCATATGCCCCCGGTAAAGCGACTGAGGGAGGAACCCATCACCTTTACCAGCGCGGATCTCCCTCCTACTTCTTCTCCTCACAGGGATGCCTTGGTGATTCGAACGGAGATCAACGACATCATCATTCACCGAACATACGTTGACACGGGCAGCTCCGTCAATGTAATGTACCTTAGCACCTTCAGAGAGCTGCATCTGGAGAGGGGGTCCCTTCGGCCCATTAAGACCCCTCTCGCCGGCTTCACCGGCGATACCATTGATTCCGAGGGGGTAATAGCCTTCCCGGTGATCTTCGGCGACGGGATCCATAGAGCCCAGCTCGAAGTGGAGTTCGTCGTCGTCAACATTGACTGCGCTCACAACATCATCCTCGGCCGGCCAGCCCTCGAGGACCTCGAAGCCATCATCTCCATGAGGCATCTCTGCCTCAAGTTTCCCGCCGAAGGGGGCATTGGCTACTCCCGGGGGAATCAAAAAATTGCCCGCGCCTGCTATCTTCAGGTCACTAAGAAGGTAAGCAAGACGGAATTCCGTGTTGACACCATCACCGGAGCCGTCGACGAAGAGGAAAGAAGGCTGAGGGCTGAACCGGCCGAGGACGTAGAAGACTTTGCGCTCGATCCGGCCCAGCCGGAGAGAGCCGTGAAGATTGGAGCCCAGCTCCCTGAACATTTGAAGACCGGTATCACCGACGCCCTCCGCGCCTACTCCACTGTCTTTGCATGGGGGCCGGAGGACATGCCGGGAATCAGCCGAAGGGTCATCACCCACCGCCTCTCGGTGGACCCTTCGACAAAAGCAGTACAACAACGAAGGAGACCCCTCTCCGCCGAGAGGAGGGAATTCGTGAAGAAGGAAGTCGCCATGCTCCTCTCAATCAAGCACATCAAGGAGGTGAAATACCCCTCATGGCTAGCAAATGTAGTCCTCGCACAGAAGCCCCCCACCTTCCGCATGTGCGTGGACTACACCGATCTCAACAAAGCATGCCCCATGGATCCATTCCCTCTACCAAACATTGATCAATTGGTGGATGAGACCGCGGGGTGTGAAATCATGTCCTTCCTCGATGCCTTCCGAGGGTACCATCAAATATTCATGCACGAGGAGGACGCCGAAAAAACTGCCTTCATGACTCCCGAGGGCATCTTCTGCTACCTAGTAATGGCCTTCGGCCTAAAGAACTCAGGGGCCACTTACACCCGGATGGTGGCCCGGGTCTTTCAAGCCGTTCTAGGGCGCACCATGGAGGCCTATGTCGACGACATGATCGTCAAGAGCAAGCAATCTTCCAGCCATGCAGACGACCTCCGGGAAATCTTCGCCATCATGCAAAAATTCAACCTTCGGCTAAACCCGAAGAAGTGCACCTTCGGCGTCCAAGGGGGCAAATTCTTAGGCTACATGGTGAGCCGAAGGGGTATTGAGGCCAACCCCGAGAAGATCCAGGCCATCATCAATATGGAGCCCCCACGCAATGTAAAGGAAGTTCAACGGTTGACGGGCCGCCTGGCAGCCCTCAACCGTTTTCTATCTAAATCGGCGGAGAAGTGCCTACCCTTCTTCCAGATCATGAGGAAGACGGCTGGCTTTCTATGGACTCCAGAATGCCAGGGGGCTTTCGACGAGCTCAAACGGTATCTATCTTCACCCCCTGTGCTCTCCAAACCCAAGGTAGGGGAGACTCTCTACCTCTACCTTGGGGTCAGCCCGGCGGCCATCAGCTCTGTGCTTATCCGGGAGGAAGACGGCATCCAGCATGCCATCTTCTACGTTAGCAAGACCCTAAGGGAGGCCGAGCTCAGGTACTCCCCTGTGGAAAAAACGGTGTTAGCCATCGTTTGGACTGTCAAGAAGTTGGGCCACTACTTTCAGGCCCACCCGGTTCAGGTCCTCACCCATCAACCCCTCGGCGCCCTCATGAGGAGCCCCACCAGCTCCTCCCGCATGGTGAAATGGGCTATCTTCTTGAGCCAATACAACATTGACATCCGTCCAAGGCCTGCCATCAAGGGCCAAGCCCTGGCGGACTTTGTGACGGAATGTACCGCAAGGGCAGCCACGGACGGGGAGCCCTCGGCTACCTCGGACGACTGGTGGACCCTCTACACTGATGGCTCCTCCGCGACCAAAGCATGCGGGGGAGGGGTAGTCCTCATTACTCCCGAGGGCTTCAGGGCCTACTATGCAATCCGCTTCTCCTTCAAGGTCTCCAACAATGAAGCCGAGTATGAGGCCCTCCTATGTGGCCTTCGGCTGGCTGCCAACATGAGGGCTCGGCAGATCCACATCAAATGCGACTCCAAGTTGGTCGTTGGCCAAATCTCCGAAGAATATGAGGCCAAGGAAGGAAGAATGAAACAGTACAAGGAAGCGGCCAAGGAGTTGCTTAAGGTATTTGAGGCACACTCTCTCACTCAAATACCGAGGGCTCAGAACTCCGAGGCCGACATATTATCTAAACTCTCGGCAGACTCCCCCGAGCACATCTCCAAGATTGCCAAAATCGAGGAACTCAGCCTCTCAAGCATCCATTCAAGCCCCGTGATGAACATACAACGACGTCAGGAGGATTGGATTTCAGATATCACCGCCTTCATCTCCACAGGGCAGCTACCCGAGAATGAGGCCCGCGCTAAACTGGCAAAGCTGAGGGCTCCCAGCTACACCATCGAAGATGGAAGGCTCTACAAACGATCTTACAATGGCACGCTACTTCGGTGCCTTCATCCAGATGAAGCCGAGGTCGCAATGGAGGAAGTGCACAGTGGCACTTGCTCAGCTCACCAGGGACCCTTCTCCATGTCCCGAAGGCTCATTCTCCAGGGCTACTTCTGGCCAACCATGGCCAGGGATTGTGCTGACCTTGCCCGGAGGTGCACCGCATGTCAACATTTCCAGAAAGCCCCCGGCAGGCCAGCGGTCAACTATGCCCCCATCAGCACATCTGTCCCATTTTCTCGATGGGGGATAGACCTTGTGGGCCCTCTGCCGAGGGGTACCTCCAACAACAGATACATCATTGTGGCCGTCGACTATTTTACCAAGTGGGTGGAGGCTGAACCCCTCGCCAGCATCACAGAGGCGAAGTGCCGTCACTTCGTCCTCAAAAACATCCTCACAAGGTTTGGCGTCCCCCAACAGATCATCTCCGACAATGGAACACAATTTGAGGCAGCCCCCTTCTGTGCCCTTCTGGAGGCATGGGGCATCAAACACACCTTCTCCTCCGTTGCCTACCCTCAAGGCAACGGGCAGGTAGAGAACGCCAACCGGACCTTGCTCGAGGGCCTCAAAAAGAAGCTGGAGGTCGAGGGTGGTGGCTGGGTGGAAGAACTTCACAACATCCTCTGGGCCTACCGCACTACCCCTCGGTGCGCTACAGGTGAAACACCCTTCTCCCTCTGCTACGGTTTTGAAGCCAAAGCTCCTACGGAAGTCACCCTTCCTACTCGAAGGGTGATCCAATATGACCCCGAGGTCAACGACAGCAACATGGCCCTCGACCTGCACCTCATTTCAGAACGCCGGGAGCAGGCCTTCATCCGGGCAGAAAACTACCGAAGGCAAGTTAAAAGCTACATCGACGCCGAAGTTCGAACCCGGGAATTTCAAGTGGGGGACTATGTCCTCCGGAGGAGGGAAGCCAGCCAACCAACCGAGGGAGGAAAAATGGCACCAAAATTCGAAGGCCCCTACATCATAGCAGCCGTCATCAAACCCGGGACTTACAAACTCAAACGCCCCAACGGGAAAGAGGTCCCTAGGCACTGGAATGTACACCATTTAGTTAAATTTTATCAATAATGTAAGAGCGGCCAAGCCCTCATAACTAGTAAATGTACTATCCAATGGCCCAAGGCCTCCAATTTCGAAGAATGAAGATACACTCAAGACATCAAGCCCTCATACTGACTACAGGCCCCAGGCCTCACCACAAGAAGAACCCCCTCCGGTACCCAGTGCCGAGGGCGGACACCATCAACACCTACAACAAACAGTAGAAACACCACGTGTTTTCAGTCAAGACCCCTCGGCACCCAGTGCCGAGGGTACTTCCCCACCTTCAACATCAAAAAAGAAAAGATTAGAACACCAAGTGTTCCTACAGAAGACCCTCCGGCACCCAGTGCCGAGGGTACACCTCCCTCATCAAATATCGAAACGAAGAAAAAACACCAAGTGTTTCAAAGAAGACCCTCCGGCACCCGGTGCCGAGGGTGCACCTCCATCATCAAACATCGAAACGAAGGAAAAACACCAAGTGTTTCAAAGAAGACCCTCCGGCACCCGGTGCCGAGGGTACACCTCCATCATCAAACATCGAAACGAAGAAAAAACACCAAGTGTTTCAAAGAAGACCCCTCGGCACCCAGTGCCAGGGATATGCTCTCCTAACAACTTCCAAACATCTATTGGGAAACACCAAGTGTTTCATTTGAAGGCCCTTCGGTACCAAGTACCGAGGGTAGACACCTCCATCAACTGCAACAAAGGAGAACACCAAGTGTTCCTACGGAAGACCCCTCGGTACCAAGTACCGGGGGCTACACATCGAAACTAACACCAAGTGTTGTTTCTAAAAGCCGTACCCCACGAGGACGCATATACCGAAGGCGCCACCATCGGTGCCGGCGGCACGTAGTGCCCCCGGCCATTTGCAACTAGTGTGCAAATGAAAACCCTTCCTTGAAACGCTTTCCGCGTCACTACCCCCAGGGTATGACAGGCATGAGAAATGCCCAGGATTCGACTTTCAAAAACGGAACGCTATCCGCGTCATCACCCCAAGGGTATGACAGGCACGTGAAATGCCCAGGATTCAACTTCCAAACCGAAACGCTCCCCGCGCCACCACCCCAAGGGTGTGGCAGGCCACAGACTATGTCTAGCGCCGAGGGGACGACTTTCAAAAATGAGGCGCTTTCCGCGCCATCCCCCAAGGGGAGGCAGGTTACGGACCACCATATCTTGTGCCCAGGAAACGTCCCTCGATCCCCTCGGAACTCGGAAGGTTAACCCGAGGGAGGAGAGCCATTGGTGTATTCTGATGGTCTCCTAATAGGCCCAACCTTACCAAGAAACCAAGTTTCTTGATGCCTTCCCTTTACCACCAACCAAAAAAAAAAGGGGGGGGGGGGGGGGTGAAGGGGAGTAGACTCAGCGAGAAATCGAAGAGTACACTCCAACAATATCACAGCATGCCGAGGGCTCCCCACGGGAACACCTCCGGTAATTGAAGACTCCTATTTCCCGAAGGATACTACTCAAAGAAATATCATCAGGAAACGGCTAAAGTCCACTACCTGGTCACCTCCGGTCACAAAAACATCGAAGGCTTCAACAATACAAAGGGACTGGACTGTCCAAGGTCCACTAAACAGCACTTCAAACAAACACCGAAGGCATCTGTTATGCACGAATACCGAGGGCCCTTTCCCCATGACAAGGGTCAAATTCTACAACTTTTAAAGTGTATGCCGAGGGCACACACTCCTCATTGGCTTTCTTCACAACAACAGGATTCAACATCAATTTATGCTTAGAAAAATCCTAAGTCCTGAAGGAGCAGCCCCCGGGCACCCGAAGGCTACACAGGGAAGCAGCACTACAAAAAATTCTAAGTCCTAAAGATGGAGCCCCCGGCCCAATCAATATTACAGCCAAGGGAATATGGTGGCCGAAGGCCATGCAATACAACAACACTTAAAAAAAGAGAGGGTATTCCGCCCTGAATGAGTAGCCCCCGGGCATCTCGCAAAGTGATGTGGAATCAGAGGGCACCTATCACCCGAAGGCACCCAAGGAAGATTTATACTTAGAAAATTTTCTAAGTCCTACATGTTTTTCCCCGGTCAACTACTCATACATCAAGGAGGGATGCCATCTCCCGAAGGCTCCCAAGGGAAATTTACACTTAGAATATTTTCTAAGTCCTACATGTTTTTCCCCGGTCAACTACTCATACGTCAAGGAGGGATGCCATCTCCCGAAGGCTTCCAAGGGAAATTTACACTTAGAATATTTTCTAAGTCCTACATGTTTTTCCCCGGTCAACTACTCATACCTCAAGGAGGGATGCCATCTCCCGAAGGCTCCCAAGGGAACTTTACACTTAGAATATTTTCTAAGTCCTACATGCTTTCCCCCCGGTCAGCTACTCATACATCATGGAGGTATGCCACCTCCCGAAGGCTCTCGAGGGAAACTCTACACTTAGAAGATTTCCTAAGTCCTACATATTTCACCCTCATCTCAAGGGACCTAATTGCCGAAGGCTACCTATCAATCGAGGGCTACAGTTCACAAGGAATCAACACTCAAGAAAATCTTCTAAGTCCTAAAAGAATTAGCCCCCGGCCTATTCAATATTACAGGTGGGGCTCCACAGTAGCCGAAGGCAACATGGCGTACTACACTTGCAAAAATCTCTAAGTCCTGCGCATTGGG